TGATATGGCTCACTCTGACAGTGACTCTGCTGCTTTGGGTCACTGTTCCTTGATTCAATTGCTTTGTCAGAAAGCTGGTGTAGATGTTACTGATAATGGGGCACCAACTAAATTGCACCCTACAATTGATGCCGCCATGATAACAAAGCAATTGAAGATAGGAGGAGCGGAGGTCACAGGATTGACTCCTAGTAGGAAATCTACAACTCAGAGTGATGATGAATTTGAAGAGAGGCTAAGGACAGGGGAGCAATGGACGGTGAACACTGACTTCCGAATGAGACATTTGCGCAGGCGTCTCCGGTTTATGCAGTCCAGCCAGCACTCATTTCAGACATACATGGTGACGATGTTGAAATCTATATGTGAGGCTCAGGGCTTAGATGTTATTGATTATCAGCCTGCTGTATACCCTCATTCTGATGAGGAGGAATCCTTTGAGGCAATTGCTCGGACTCACTATGCTGATCATGTGGATGGAGCTGCGCCTACTGATGGTGCTACATCTTCTCATGCTGCACCCACTCCAGAGAGACAGCCTGGTGTTGATGCTACTACCACAGAGACCACTGTTGCTGCTGCTGCTGATGCTGGTGCTATGGATGAGGACAGGGGTGTTGATCCTGAGTACAACCCCTTGCCTACTGTTGATCCAGGCTCATATTTGGTGTTTAGTGATGATGACGAGTCTACTGATTAGACTTCTCATTTTGTTTTTTATACATTTTCTGTTTTATGGTTTTATTTTGGATATTTTTAGTTGATTGTGGTATTATTTTCATTTTGTATATTTGTTAGTACGTTGAGATTCTCTGTTTGAATGATGCACTTTAAAATAGTACTTATGCTATTTGTTGATATGTGTATGTGTTTCAGTGATCAATTGCTGTTTTAGATTTCAATTAGTTGCTGGGGACAGCAACATTTAAATCTGGGAATTGGGTGTGATTGAATGGCATGCAAATTTCATGGAGATGTCACACAAATTGATGAGCCAAAACAGGGAAACATCTCAATCTCTTTTCTTTTCTAAGTTTTCTTGTGTGATTTAGATTTTAGCTGTAATATTGAATTTGAATTTCAGTTTTGATATGGAATTTCATGAGGATTTGACTGATCAAAGTTTTATATGATTGATCAAATTAAAGGATACAATCTTATACCTTGCATGCTGAGCTTAAATGAAATGATTGCATGACTCATTCAATGTGTAAGAGTAGAAAGATTAGTTTTGATGCATATAGAGAAAGTCAAGCATGCACTCTGAACTGTGAGGAAATTGAGCCTATACAGAAAATTTTGTTCAGAGAGCACTTCACTGCATGAATAGCTCTAGAACTTGCCATGTTTCTTGCTTGAAATGGTTGATGATGTGTAGGGTAGAGGCATTTCCTTCTTGAACCAGAAAGTCAAATGGCCAACCTTTAAGTTCCAATTTCATGAAACACTTGAGCCTAGCCTGTTGTCTATCAAGCCAAAAACCACATTTATTCCAATCCTTTAGATTAAAAGTTTCAAATAAGTGATAAGGGATGGAGTGTTCTGTGGGGAGGAAAGTGTTTTTGCAATAAGTGAATGCAAGGTGTTGGAAACATAAGAAAGAAAGAAGGAAAAGAAAGAAAAGGTTGTAAAACACAAAGTGTTTGGAAGAGACAGAAGGAAGTATTAAAGACACAAAGTGTCTGGAAGAAAAAGAAAAAGAAAAAAATTTTGTTAAAGACACAAAGTGTCAGGAAGAAAAGGAGGAAGAAAGGTTCAAAGAAAAGAACAAAGAATGAAAAGGAAGAAAGTTAAGAGAATTAAGAAGAAATTGATTAATTACTGTGAATTCCCTCTTAACTGAATCTGATTCATTTGATCTGAACTTTCCCTTTCACAGAAATCCTTACCTATAGTCAAGCCACACACCAAGCCTCATTGCTAATCATACCAAAACCTTTTTGATCTACCTTATGGATCATTGTTACTATGAATAGTGAGAAGATGGGCAAGCTTATAGCAGTTTGAGTGCAGTGAAGAGTGAGTGATAAGTACACCTTTAAACACTAGAGTGCAAGAGAGTCAAATTCTCATAATTTTTGAGAAGTTCCTAGTGAGGGGGTGTTGTTGTTTGGAAGTCTCTGTATATCATCTTTACTGATCTGTTGAAAAGTCACAAATGATGTTGGCCAAATCATAGGAAATAAGAGATTGCATGGTTATAATTTTGTATCATGAAATGTTGATCTTTTGTTAATTGAAGTCCATCCTCATGAATTTCATCTGTAAAGAATCTTAAGTCCTCTGTTTTAATTCATTGCTGAGGACAGCAATGTTCAAATCTGGGAATTGTGATGAACCCTTAGTTCATCAGGTTTTTAAGCATGAATTAATATCAATTTGTGTGATTAAATGGATGGAAAAGAGGTTAATGTCCTGGAAATCTCTCAAATACAAGTTCTGAAGCTTATGTTGAAAATTTACATTGTTTTTGTAGGGAAATGAAGCTCAAGAAGCAAAAGAGAGAAGGAAGAAGATTCTGAAGAATGGGAAAATTCTAAGTGTTGGGCGCTAAAACGTCCAAAACTGAGCGTTTTAGCGCCCTGTTGCACAAAAGATGCTGGTGCTGAACATTAAAACGCCCAAAACTGAGCGTTTTAGCGCCTGAACATTAAAACGCCCAAAACTGAGCGTTTTAGCGCCCAAGACAGTTAAAAGCAGTTGGGCATCCGTCAAGGTTGAGCGCTAAAACGTCCAGAAATGAGAGTTTTAGCGCCCATGTCAGTTTTCAGTTGTAATTTGTAAATTATAAAAGGACAAGGGGCCTTCACATTCTGACAGATTCCAGATATCAGATCCAATCTATCATATCTCATTCTGACTTTTCCCATCACACTAGGAGAAGGGAGATCAGATCAGGTCTTTCATAGATCTGATCTGACTCCTTATTTTCTCTGAATTTCCAAATTCTTTAGGATTAGTTCTTGTAATAGTTAGTATTTCCTATGTAATTGTACTTGGAGATTGAAGACTCAACTATCATGACAATGGAGTTTGATCTATCTTTCTTCTCTTGTTTGTGTTTCAATTATGTCTGAGTAGAGTCCCTTGTAGTCTGATTCAATGGAACTCAAGTTTGAATTTATGAATGGTTAATTAGATGTTTTGTTTATCTATTATGTGATTGTATGAAGTTGTCTTGATTAATTTTTCATGTTGAGGAATAGTGTAGAACAGACATGTTTACATTGTTTCTCTATTTTTGACAACTTCATCATCAGTGTTCTAGTAGTCAAGGGATTGATGCTAGGATTCTGATGTGTTCTTAAGACCTTAGTAATTAATGCATGTATTAAGAAAGGAATCACCAAGGGATTGGGGTTTCTGATTAATGTGTCTATCAGGGTAGTAAGGGATTACATCTTGAGATGATAAGAAAAAGGTTGATCAACATCACATGGTAGATAATTCATAATGGAAATTGGTTCATCTATAAATTCATGTTTGAGGGCAAATGACATCTGACTACTTGTTTACATTATAATTTACATTTTAATTATTTATCAAGTTTTAATTCAATTCAGTGTAGTTTCTGGTGACAAGAAATCTATGCAATCTATGAACTTTTGTTTGATTCAACTCAAGTACATATGGTTAGTCAATGCTTGACACAAATCCTCGTGGCAACGATCTTTACTCATCATTTTATTACTTGTACGACTAGTGCACTTGCTAGATCCGCAACAGTGTGATTTTCTGTGTTAAAATTGATAAGAATTGAGTCATAAAAGAGCAACTTAAATACATATTTGCTAATTATATTGATTCTTTCTTTTCAATAATATTTCTCACCTATTGGTTGTGTTTTTACAGGAAAAAGAAGTGAAAATTATAAAAAGCCTGTTGATGCATACCAGCGCCGGATTGGAAAAGTTGCATAGTACAATAGACAGAGACTTGGTGCAAGTTGCGCCAGATTACGAACTCCACAGCGGTAATTGGAAGTGGCGCCAACTGGCGCCAAAACATAAAAAAAGCCACAAAGTGGCGCCAAAAGACATTAAGTTGGCGCCAATTTTTGTGATGGTGGCGCCAAGTGGCGCCCATAAAGTAAGAAGATGGTGCCAACCGGCGCCTGTTACTTGCGATCAGGACCGGTTTTTGCAATTTGAGACAGAAGCTCCGCGCGAAGTGGCGCCGTACCGGCGCCAACTGGCGCGGGTTGCGAGAAAATATTACCGTATTTTCGCGGGGGTATTTTTGGAAGAAGAAAAAGAGGCTTGTAAATAGGATCCTCATGACAGAATTAGGAATTCAGACCTATTCTACTGAGGGAGACGACGGCAGAGCTCCGGGAGGATCCCGAAGATCAAGTTTTTCTTCTCCTTTCTCTTTAATTTTATGCTTTTGGATATTGAATTATTTTTAGCCATGATTATGCTTGGCTAGTTCTTTTTATTGTAGTTAGGGTCACGAACCCTATGTGAACCCTTGTTACGACGGATTGGTTTACTTTTACTTTTTTATTTAATTATCTTTGTCTCTACCCTATGCGTATTTTACATTTTCTTTATTAGAACCGATCAATCTAATAATTGAAAATAGTTTGAGGGTTAGAACCCTAGATAGGAATATTGGGGTTTTAACCTTGAAAGGGGGTAAGATAACGGTTCATATGCATGCTAGGAATAGATGTGTGTTGAACTGCGGATGCCTAGATTATTGAATTCATTGCTTAAGGCCATGAGGAATATTGCAAGGAATTAGGGTTCCTCATGGGATTAAAGGGTTAACCTTGCAAGGAATTGAGGGTTGACTAATAATTATTTTAGATAATAATTTATCCGAGTAATTTTATAAATGAATATTTTTAAACCAATCCAAAGTAATAAGTGGGGATCATAAGGTGAGTGCGCTCTAGCTACAATGCTTTTCTCACATTTTAAAATCAATTCTCATTTTTATTGTCTATTTCTTAATACGAAAAATACAAAAACAAGTCTTTACTTTGGTTCTCAATTTTACACCAATCGACAATTATTTGTCACAAGCCTTTTGAACTTTTCCATTCTTGAAAGGAATAATTAATTGGTATTCGACCCAATCCCTGTGGAGACGAACTTTACTTACTTTATATTACTTGTGCGATCGGTGCACTTGCCGGTGAGCATCAATGGCCTTCTCCTTTAAATTCATCTTCTCTCTTTTTGTATTCCTAACCATTTGTCTTTCCTCCGAATACACTTGGGTTTCCTTCACAGACTCCATATTCCCCAAATTCTCATTCTCCTCAGCTACTGTCCTCAGAACATTGAAATTTGCACCCTTTACCCGGCTCCCATTGTGAATAGAGCTATCCTTAACTTTGTGCTCTGCTATCTTAGAATTGGAAGCCTTACTAGCACCCTGTTGTATATTCACTAACATCCAAGGGCCAAAAGATCCACCCTCCACGGTCTGATTTTGACTTACTTCCCTGCCCTCATCATTCCCTAAGTCAGCATTTCTCATTTCTTCTTCCTTTCCATCTCCACCAGGTCCAACTGTAGATTTAGAGCATTTTTCAGCTCTATGACCATACTGGCCACAAGAATAACACACTATATGTAAACCTTCATATTCAATCTTCTTTAACCTACCTTCTATTTTATAATCAGCCTGTAGGGGATTACTTAAATCCAGTTCCACACAAATCCGTGCAAATCTACCCCTAGCAAGTGAAGTAGTAGCAGCATCTAATTTGACAAATCGACCAATCCAATTCCCTATACTCTTTACTAATTTAGTATTTACATATTCAATAGGGAATTGAGGTAGTCTTACCCAAGCCATGACTCTGTTAACTGCCGCTTGAAACGGTTGGAAATCAGGTTCCCAAGCTCGAATCACCAAGTAATGATCCAAAATCACCCACGGGCCAGCAGTCAAAGCATGATCGAGGTCTTTTTTCTCTGAAAATCGCACTAGGTAGAACCCATTCTCCACATCTGTGATCATCAGCTGTCCTTCACGCGCCCACATATTCTCCAGACTTTTTTCCATAAAAGCTAGGGATAGTCTTTTCCCCAATAATTTGACATAAATCGCTTGATGCCATGGACGCCAAGCCTTCTTTTTGAACTCTTTGGAAAGCAAAAAATTGGTCCTTCCGTCAACCCTAACTTCGCATGTGACTTCTGGAACAGGTTGGGCATCCTCCTTACCTTCATCAGCTAACTCCTCATCTTCCTCCATCGAGTTCTCTTCCCCATTGGGGGGGCCACTCTCCATTATGCCTCAGTATCATTTCTTTATAGGACACTTTGTCGTGCATCCACTCATCATCTCTGGGCTTCAGCTGCTGATCGTGACTAAAAGTACCTTCCTGACGTTTTTTCTTCCTGGTTGACCGTTGGAGGTTGTCAATTTCCTCCGTCGAAGGCAATTTCTCTTCCGATGAGTTCATAGCGGCTGAACCCTAGCAGACGTTTTTAAAAAAATAGTGCTTTTTGTCAAAACTTGCTGATCTTGCTTCTTATTAGAACGTTGGAATATTTAAAATCAAAGAGAATAAAGAAAATAATCAACAAGCCCACATCGTCGGTGAACACAGACACAATGTATATGAGAAAGATAGGCTCTGTTTGATAACTGATCTTAAAAACAGTTTTTTGGTTTTTAGATTAAAAAAACAAAGAAACTCATTTGGTAAGACTAATTATTTTTTTTGTTTTTAGATTCAAATTTAGAGAATATGTGAGTTGTTTTTGCCTTTAACTTTAAAAAAAAAAACACTTATTTTCATAATTATTTTACAAAACAATTTTAAGAAAAAAATTAAAACACAATTAAATAGGCCTGGACTATGCCTGTGATCTTTGCAAATGCTTTCATGCTAGGGTTTTTGTTTTTATTTAACTAGAGGATTCCTATTTATATGGGTTGGTCTTGGCCCAACCCAAGCCCAAGTCCTGATAAGTTAGAGGACATATAGGTCCATTTATATTAGAGCTTTTTTTGTGTGGTAGAGTCATATCAGAGCTTTAATTCACATTATTAATAGTTAATTATGTTAAAAGTTATATTTAATCGTGTTGTTTGTTATATTTCAAGATTTTTAATCATAATTTTTAAATTATATTATTTAAATACGGTAAACGTAATTTTTATTTTTGAGTAATATAAAAAATGTATGAAATTTATCAAAATATTTACTCTATTTTTTAATGAAATTTCTAAAAATAATTCAAAAATTTATTTAGTTCACAATGTGTATTTTTAGAGAAATATTTATGTTGCACAGGTGTTAATATAACAAATTAGTACTATATGGAAAGTGAATTGATTTTTTTTTTGGTGGATGAAAAGATAATTGAATTTGTTAAAAACTGCTATATAAAAGTTCTAAATGTTTGCCAAAATGTTTTTTTCTTTCTAAATTTAGCCAACAATGGTCAGTACAACTAAGGATTTGTTCCATACTCCACAAGGATTTGAATCGAAACTCCTGGTCGAAGAGAAGACTTTATTATAAGTGATATATAATTCCTCTCAGATAAAGTTGATATTAATGTTTGATATTTAGAGAAATACTCTTGGAAAGGTCTGTCAGACTGTCACCATATACCGATTGAAAAGATAAAATAATTTATATATATATATATCTCCAAAAATATTTTTCATATACGTCATAAGTTTTCTTTCTTAAATATCATGAACATTATATTAAAGCAAAACAATTTAAAATTTAAACGTTATTACTATCGTATTACAAACAATCTCATATATATATATATATATATATATATATATATATATATGATAAAAGTGTTTATCATTTTAAATGACATAAAGTTATGTCATTTTAAGAGAGAGACAGACACAAAATTTTTTTTATTTAAATTTTAAATTAAAAAAAACATTCATTTTCTCTCTCTCATAATTTCTATTTTTCTGTGTCTATCTTTCTTCTAAAATGACATAACTTATATCATTTAAAATGACAAACACCAAACCGTTTGTTAATGTGGTATTATATAATTTAATTTTTCAATTTTTGATTTATTACAAACAATAAAAAACCAATAGTAAATTTTTTTTTCAAAAAAAAAAATGGTTTTAATATTTTAATACATAATTGAAATTTTTAATATTTTGTAACTTCACACGTGTATTTAATCTACTATGAGTTTAAGTACACGTGTAGGTAAGTATTAAGGGACTGGTTGTTGAAATACAGGTTTGTTTGGAAGAGGTAGGTTGGTAGGAAAAGATGGAAGAAAAGTGTAAGCAGCATACAATAAGGTGGTGTTTGGTTGGGAGCTTTTCAGCGGATATCTATCTTTTTTAAGTATGGTTAAGGGGACGTTTGGTTGAGGAATTTTTTTTGAAATAGTAGAGAAATGTAATAGATAGAGAAATGATTGAAAAGATAGATAAAGTGAGATAGGTAGAAAAATGTAAAAAAAAGTTGTTTGGTGGGGAAAAACTTTACTGGGAAAATTAGGTAACTTTATGAAATCAACAGTGCATTAAAAGCCAGATAACCGGTTTTCCGAAAAATCTCACCTTCAAATTGGGTTTCTAAACAGTGCGGATATCTATGTTTCTCATAAATCCATACAAATTGGATAGATGGGTTTTTGGTGAAAAATGTTGAAACAAACATGGTGTTTCTAAAAGCCATACTTGAGAAAGATAGATATCCACTGAAAAGCTCCCAACCAAACACCACCTTAGAAATTACCATGTTTGTTTCAACGTTTTTCACCAAAAACTCATCTATCCAATTTGTTTGGCTTTATGAGAAACATAGATATCCGCACTGTTTAGAAACCCAATTTGAAGGTGGGATTTTTCGAAAAACCGGTTATCTGACTTTTAATGCACTGTTGATTTTATAAAGTTACCTAATTTTCTCAGTAAAGTTTTTCCCCACCAAACAACTTTATTTTACATTTTTCTACCTATCTCACTTTATCTATCTTTCCAATCATTTCTTTATCTATCTCATTTCCCTACTATTCCAAAAAAATTTCCTGAACCAAACGCCCCCTGAAAGGAAAAGGAGTGGAACGGGGTTGGTACTTGGTGGATGACTTGGACAGCGAGTAGAAATCTTCCGCTTCAAAATAAAAAGGGTATATTGGTCAATTTAGTGCAAGCCTAAGACCACTCCTTCACCTTGATGCATGCATGTCACGTAAGGTTAAGTAAGGTTAATTCCAATGAAATGCTATGGTAGTAATCCCAAATCCCCAAAGTGTATACTAGGAAAAATAGGATCGATGTAAAGAAACCTTGTAAAGTGGTTTAATACATCCTGTTTCACAAATGTAAATTTCTCAAACATATATGTAATTACAAGTCCTTATAAATTATTTATGAAAGATGTTCAGGCTTCTTGTAACTAATGCAATCAATTTAATTCATATTTAAAACAAAAAAGAACAACACACTCATGAATACATTTGAAACAAATCAAGCATTTTATATTGCTGCGTTGACTAGGCATCTTATTGCATTAGCCAACTAATTCGTCCACTAAATACCAATAACTTAAACCAAATCCTTGCCCCAAAAGAACTGACAATGCATGTTATAAACAGGAGAGGTTTTCAATTAGAGTAACCTTATTTGGATTGTTTCGAAGTTTTGCAGCAACTTCTTCCCAAGCTTACAACAAAAACAATTCCCTACATAGAAATGTATTCAATATTCCATAGCTTAATAATGTTATTTTAAGAAACACTAAGCTAAACTAAAGGAATAGCAGCTGCACTTAAAAGGAATTAAGTAAGAAGAAAATCAACTCTAGAATTAAGCTTGACCTTTTCCATAATGATACCCACCTGGACTTGTTCTTGAAGAAATTAAATCAGTGCGGTTGGGATGTGAAGTGAACCACAGTGGGAGAAAAAGAAAAACTCATATACCTTCCAATGCCCTTACCCTAAAGTCATGAAGTGTACCAAAATAACCAAGAGTAATTGAGTCACTTAGTTCTGGGATGTGAAGTAAAACCCTACTACAGTCAGAAATTTTTATGGAGGAGCAAAATTAAATATATTTTAAATTGGATGGAAATTATCTCCCAACAATAATATACACACTCATGACAGTAAATTACCTTCCCAACAAAAAATAATTATAGGTAGAAAAAAAGAAAAGAAAGGAATGTGTCCAAAGTGTAAACATGGATCGACGTTTTTAAATATACTTTTATATATATTAAATCTAGCTATTTATTTTTAAGAAATAGTTTATGTATTAGATATAAACATGGATCCATCTTTCTGTCTTTCTTTTTTAATTGTTAGAATCAATAAAAAATATATTTAATTACTTAATTAAAGAAATAAGTTTGCAAATAGCATTGATCATTTAGCATGGGAAATAATTAGTAAGAAAACCAGTTCACTAAAATGTTTATAATTAGTTGGCTTAAATTTCGGTGATTTTCTCTTTTTAATTTCTATCTGTTATGTTTTGTTTTGTTTGATAAAGTGTCACACTGTCCATGCCGCATCCACGAAATCCTTTCGTGTGAATTTGACATTATATCATTTTTTTTATATAAATAAGAGCTAACTACAATAGAAAATTATATAAATCATCCGATATAGAAAATTGCATTTATAATTTCTTTTACACGTCATAACTATTTACAGCTCACAACTTCAATTTTGATTGTTTTTTAGGGAAATTATACTCTTATGTTACATAAGATTCTTCATCTCTCATATTACATTTACATAAAAAGATGTACCTCACTTTTTTTCTTTTTTAAAAATTGGTGGGTCTCATTTAATTTATCTCACAACATAAAATAAGTTATATTTAAGTAAAGCTTTTTTTTTTAAATCAGTTATGGGTTTCCCAAAAGTTAAACTTTAGTTAGACCTACTTAAACGACAAAAAAAAGTATACTTTTACATTAAATTATTTCCATTCATATTTCATATTTCATATTTCATATTTTTTCCAATTTAGCAACTTAGTATGCACAACAAACTGTACGGAAGATACGGAAGATACGCTGTGCAAAAGTTCCTCCACTATTCAGCTACTGAGGCGCACCTTGCGCCCCCTGCATGCGCCACCCTGTCTGCACGCCTTTCCCTGTGCTTGTGTTATATAGCTACTTATGCTCATCCTCTTCATTAACCGTACATCAAATTCCTATCAACAACTTGGGAGGAATGGCTGAGTGGCTTAAGGCATTGGTTTGCTAATCGACCTTTTTCACCTTGCTGACCTTTCCTTTTTTTTTTTTTTTTTTTTAAAACCTTGGCTTTCATCCGATTTGCTAGACATTTTCTCTTTTCTCTCTTTTTGATTTAAAACCCTACTTTTCATCATGGCTGAAAAAATCATAGAAAAAATATTTCAGATTTCTGTTACAGAACCTGTCGTTGATTGTATGATTAGCGAAGGAAAGACGCTCTACCGCTTGAGCCCTTTCCTTGAGCTTGATCTCGCCTATCGAATCCACTGTGACACCAGCGAGAAATTAATCTTCCAGTATCTCACCGATTGCTGGCAGCGAGCTCAAGAGGAGGACAAGATCCTAGAGGACAGCGAGGAGATAATAGAGGGAGAGCAAAAAACTATGATATCAGAAGTGGTTACCCAGACAAAGGCGCTTTGCGTTAAGTACTGCAAGACTCATTTGCGTTCCCTTTTGCGTTCCTGGCGTTTGCCTCTTTTACGGCTGATTTTTCCAGAGATAAAAGGTAGAGGAAAAAAGATTTCGCGGGAGTTTATGGATGATATGTTTGGGGACAATGAGGATATTGATAATTTAACCCCGATTTTTGAACGCCTATACGATGAGTTGACGAGTTTCGGAAATCATTTTCATCTTTTGGATTTTGAAGACTCTCTTCAGGCTTTGTTGTTTTTGGTTAATTTTCCCATTGGTGCAAAGTCCCTTGCGGGGCATACACGTTGGATTCCTTATCATTTTATCAGGAATAAAGCGCCTATTTTTGAAAGAACCTCCATCTTGGGTCTCTTTTTTCGGGTGACTGCCCTTCCTCTTTGTAGCCTTTTTCGCAACGAGGGGTGAGCTTATAATTTTCTTTTTCTTTTAAGAGTTATATTTCGTTGCGTATTTGTTTGAAATTCAGTTGTTGTTGATATTGTAGTATTGCTTTTCTTTTTTTCTGAATTGGTGAGGAACTAAGGAGAATAGTATAACTTTTTATTGCTTTCATAAAATAATTGTTTTATGGTACATACTTGGTATTTTAGTAAATTATTGAGGTTAATGTTATGTAGCACCAACACCTCACTTTACGCAATAATATCCAATATTTAATTTTAAAAAAAATTTAAATTTCGATATATTGGGACAAATTTTAATATTAAATAGTTTGGGTGAAATTCGATATGTTGAGATGCAAAGTGGAGTGGGTGGGGGTTTTGGTTTTTCTTTCATTTGTTGAGGGAGAGAAGTCAAATTCCTGTTTCTCTGGGAAATTAAAGAACCCGTTGCAGGCGGTTTTGTTGGAAGCAAAAAAAAAAAGAGCTAAAAAGAATTGCAAAAATAATATTTAAAACTCAGTCACCTTAATTCATAGATAGATTAGTTATATTAGATTACCATTCTGAGTTGCCTTAGTTGACTATCTCGTGCAACAACAGCTAGTGTTTTTGTGTTAGGCAAGATATATTCTTGCTTCCACTTTGTCAAACTCATTTGATTGCTGGGAAGATGGCTTACTGCTTCTTGCTTTGAGTGTTACAGACTTACACCCATTCGTCGTACTCTTGTTGCTTTTTATTTGCAACCCGATATTCTTGTTTCCACTTGAAAATTCTATGTTAAGGTCTATATATTTACTACACGAACCTTACTTGTTGGATTTATTTAGATGGAATATTTTATTATTTATTATTGAATTGTGTTCATTTTTAACATATTTTTGTTTCTCTTGCTTAAAATCCAGGCCATTGATTTCTGACTTTTCAGATTTTCAATTGTTATCGTCATTCTCCACTATCAAAATTTTCACGAATAGATTGTATGATGGCCTTGCTAAAGTTCTCTTCATCCTCCTTGAAAGGCCCGATACTCGTGAAAATGTACTTGAGTATGTTGGGGAGGTGATCAGATTTAGTGCTGATCCAATGGTAAATTATATATTACCAGAATTTAGAAAGAATTTTTTTTTTTTTTTTGAATGATGGTGAAATAGGATTCAGTAACTTCTTTCATATCTAGTACCGAAAGTTTCTGTCTTTTTTTTTTTTTTTTTTTTTTTTTTACTTTTTCTTTGTTATTTATCTCGTGAGAATACTGAATATGTATCATGTTTTTTGAAAAACAGGATGACAACACTTTAGAGGCAGGCACGCTTGTAAGTGTCAGTGCCGTCATGCTTCGTCTATGTGAGCCATTTTTAGATGCAAATTTAACAAAAAGGTTTGATCCAAAATACTTACACTGTTCAAACCGTTTGAAGCTAAGGTGAGGGATTTGTATATTAAATCGTAAACTTCTCATGTAAGTTTCATGTATGTCTGCAGTGGTAATTTTTTATTGTAATCCTGTTTTAGTGGGTTGGCTGCTCGTCGTATATCATCATCAGAAGAAGTTTATAAATGGCTTGATAGTAAATACCCAGCTAAGGCTGAGGGGATCAATCAATATAATGATGCTCAACAATCTCAAGAAGCCAGCAGTTCTCATGATGAAATTTGCGAAAGGTTCTTTTTAACTGCAAGAGTCCTCAACTTAGGCCTTATAAATGCATTTATTGAGTACGAATATTTAGTTCAGGTAATCACATGTCCCTTGTTTGGTTAGAATTAAAGATTGTTCGTATTATTATTTTATGGGGGCTAAGTTCTGATGTTGACTTATTTCCTATGTGCTTCGAATGATTTCTTTCATGTTATGTAAAATATAAACTCTGGAGTCATATTATATCCAGGTTGATAGTGCGTGTGGTAAAGGTGATCGTGAATTGGAACTACACCAGTTCTACTCTAGCAAAATGCTTCGTTATGAAGCTCAGTTATTGGAGGTAGGTCTTATTTTATTTTCTCTCGTTGGAGTTGCTTGTTATTTCTATAAGCATGTGCACATGCAGTAATACACATGAAAATGAAATAAGTTTCTAGCTTAAATGCTTTTTCTAGCTTTTTAAAGTTTCAATATTGTCATTTTGACTTTATTGGCTTCACATTATTTTCCTTAGGATAACAAACTGATCGGGAATGCACTTTCCTTCGACCGCTTGATGATTGTTTGGATGCTTGACTTGGTTGGGGGAGCTAAGATGCCTCTACCACCAATTTTCCCAATGGAATTTGCTGCCCTACCGCAGTTTTTTGTATTAGATGCCATGGAAGTTCTAATATTTGCTTCTCGGATTCCAAAGGCATTAGATGGAGTGATGCTGGTAAACTTCACCTATTCCTTGGATTAATATTTGGGTAAAGCATCTCTCAAGGAGATAAAGTTATCTCCGGTGAGCCCAAAACGATATTGTTTTGGGACGGAAATCAAAGTATTTTTGTAATTCTAATATATTGCAGGGTTATATTAGTCTTTATCGTTATAATTTTTTAATCTTATAACCTAAAATAATGTCGTTTTGAGCTCACTGGAGATAACTTTATCTCCGGTGACTGGAGAGATACTTTTCCCTTACTATTTTTTCTCCCAAATTCTTCTTATGCAGGATAATGCATTTATATTCTTGTTTTACAGGAGGAGTTCATGGATTTTATTGTTATGTTCATGGCCAGCCCTGAATTTATCAAAAACCCATATATTAGTGAAAAAATGGTGAAAGTCTTGAACTGTTGGATGCCCAGTAAGAGGTAATTTGGTGTCATTCTTATGATAAAAATTGGCATATTTGGGTATTATTATTTTTGTATTGCTAAATCTTGCTTGATGTCCCTGCCTTATTCCCTTTTTGCTGTAGCTTATCTACTACAGCTACTCTATTTGAAGGGCACCAATTGTCTCTTGAGTATCTTGTGAGGAATCTTCTAAAACTTTATGTTGACAATGAGTTCACTAGTTCTGAAGTTGAGGTTAGTCTACATTTTAAGGCTGTGTTCTTGGCATGACTGATAATTTATTTTGTTTAAATGCTGTAAATTTTCTATATTGAAGGCGAGCTTTAGGGCAGCTGTAAAGTTGCTCCTTGTGACTGAAAGGTCATAGGTTTGAGTACAGAAAACAATCTCTTTACAAGAATGCAAAGGTGACCTCATCCCCACCCTCGCAAGTCGGGGAGTGTTGTGCACCCAGGGGTTTGCCGTAAATTTTTATATTAAGATGAGGAATATATTTGAATTAATAACCTCTAGATTATTGTCTTGAAACTCAAGGTTGAGGATCAAAACAGGGTTCTATGTGAGTCATGTTTGTGGTCCTATTTGCTAAATGGTGACATAAGGTGGTTAAATAAATAGGTTTGATTATAATCCTAAACATGTCATTGATTAGCAATGTCAGCGGAACTTAGGAATTTTATTTCAACCTCTTTCATCATTTTTTATAGCTCATAGTTTAATTCCCCAAATATGGTTTCCTATATACACATATCGATAGGCATATTCCATTCCATGGATTTTAATAATTGAAATAATTAATTTTTTTGTGTTGTTGAATTCAAGAAAGGGTGTCTTTTGTTGACCTAGCTATTGTCTTAATTGTCTCTTGTTTGTTGTAGTTCAAAGACTTCCACCGTCATATAGCTGAACTCCTTGAATACCTGTGGCAGGTCCCTAGTCATCGTGATGCTTGGAGACAGGTAATGTTTTAAAAACATTTGAATTTCGTTATCTCACACCATACTAAGCTGTCTCTAATTTCCGCTAAATTTAATTTTCTTCCAGATTGTTGAAGAAGAGGAAAAGGACGTCTTTCTGAATTTCTTGAACTTTCTGATTAATAATAGTATTCGTCTATTTGATGAAAGTCTGCACCAAATTATTGATCTCAAAACAAGGCTGATTCTGAGGACAAGTGCATCGTTTAACGAGTTTATAAAGATTAAAAAGGTGAGTTTTGTTAAAAATGGTGAGGGGTAGGTTTATGGGTCTTCTGCACTTATAAAGTCTTTTTTCTTTTAAGTATTGGAGGCACACTAGCTTTCTGCGGGAGAGCCCAACCAACCAAACCTTTGTTAAAAATGGTGTGGGAGAGCCCAAAAAACTTTGCAAGGGATACATCCATGGGCCAAGCGATAAACCACAATAAGTGAGCCGACACCACATCTCAACCCAAAACCTTAAGGTTGTAGGTTTATGGGTCTTTTGCAGTTATATAGTCGTCTAGTCGATGTGGTACTTCTTTATAACTCATACTTGAATACTTCCAACAAGTTTTTGGTCTAATATGTAATTATGTATCTGCGTTTGTTTTTAAATTTATGTAATAAAGCATATAATGCTGGATAATTTTGCAGAGTATTCGGGTTGTTATTGGGTGGGCAAGTGAACATCTCAGGCTGCTTGCATTTGCTTCGGAGCATTTTACTGCTCCATTCCTTCTTCCTGAGATGGTAATTTTTCTCTATTTCCAACCCTTGCTGTTATTCATCTTGTCATTTCATAAAACAGTATTAGTGGCTAAAGTATAATGTTCCTGTGATATTTGCTATTCTGCTTATGAGTTTAATCTTATTTTCCCACTTTTACAAGGTTGAAAGTGTGGCTAGCAGGCTCAATCACTTTTTGCTGCAATTGGTGAGTCCTCAGAGTCAATATATTACTCTAGAAGACCACGAAAGTTACGAATCTCGTCCAAAGAATTTGCTAAAGCAGGTTGGCATCAACTATTTTTTGAAATTTGTACAGTGAGTACTTTTTCTCATGTTGATTAAGTATGACGGGAGGGATGGTATGCTATTCTTTTGCGGTCTATAGGTTTAAACATACCTGTATGAGGATTGGTCCTTATACTGTTTCATTGATCATAGGAATTTGAAGAACTTCAATTTTGGACTGGTTCCATTTTACATGATCTGCAGTTTTGACTTTTGAGCCTTTGAAAAACCACTTATTGACTGTTGGAGATATAAAATCGTTCTTGGGCCTCTAGCTCTCTACCCAACCGCTTAAGTTTTAGGAAAGTTGGTCCTTGACATTGTATTAGAACCTTTAAGACCAAGTGGTGAGGAGTTTAATTCTTGCCACTTAGCCTCCTTTAGAGAAATATAATATAAAACCATTAATGTAACTTTCACCTAACAGGTTAAGCTTTTATTTTGAATTGATTATTTTTATTTTATTTTATATTTAATATTAATGCTAGTTTGATTTGTCTTTTTCGGAGAGCGATGTGGGGAGGTTTTCTCTTCGGATCAATTAAAAAAAGAGATATAGTTACCATTGAAGTTCCACTTTGGCACCAGAATCTTGTGTGTCATATATGTTACATGACACTAATGTATTACAAATAACTTTATTTTTTCATAGAAAATCATTAAACTTTAAATTATTCATTTGAAGATTGGGCGCATATATGTTCATCTGGCTAGAGGTGACACAAAGTCCGTCTTCCCGGCTGCCATTACAAAGGATAGTCAATCATATAATGATAAGGTAAGTTTTGTGAGACTTTTAGTATACTCCAAAATTAGTCTGTTCTACCATGAACAAATGCAATCTGACTGCGAATATGCTGCAGTTTTTTTTTTGCTGCAGCAAATGTCCTGAACAATATCATAATTGATGATGGCTATGAGAGAATTATCCGGGAATTTATTCGACTTGGTGCTAAAGTTAGAGTTGCAGCTTTAGAGGCAGAGGCCATGTATACCGAAGCTACTCTAGGAGAAATACCAAATGAATTCATTGATCCACTTAAAGTGTGTTCTGGACTTCTTTCTGTGTTTGTCTTTGAAATTTAATAGTTTTATGCTGGCTAGATACATGTTTGGTTTCCATTATTTATGGTGAAAGATTTTTTTTTTCTTTTCTTTTCTTTCGAAAGCGCTCATAAATTTTGATTATAGACTGTTTTGAATGCATAAGTTGATCTAAACACATATAAAGAATACATGACCTTTTTTGTTTATATTGTAGGGCACCTTGATGAAAGATCCAGTTCTGTTACCTGCTTCAAAGATGATAATTGATCGATCTGTCATTCTGGGGCATCTTCTTAGTGATCAAGTATATACCTTTCGACCTTTTATTCCTCATTACTGATTTTCATATAGAGAAGAGGTTCCCTTGATTATTCTCTTCTGTTTGCTTTATTTGTGCAGAATGACCCGTTTACCGGTTTTGGACTTACTGCGGATATGCTTAAACCTGTTGGTGAACTAAAAGAAAGAATTGAAGAGTTTGTAAGATCTCGAACAAACAATAATGAATCCTAAATTCAAGAGATTGAATGCAATGCTTTTTGCTATTTAGTAGGCTATGGAAATCTTTCATTGGGCCAAGATTGTATATGAATGCATTTTATTTTCTTTGCCTTCTCTAAGCCAACATGAGAGACTTCAAAGGGATTAATTATTTTGATTTAACTGAGATACAGAAGTCAAAATTGGTTCTGTTTGAGTACTTGATAAATTGAATGAAATATTTTCTTTGAAGTAAAGTGCTGGTGTCCATTTCCCAAATATATTCTTGTGCTCTGTTATGTTATTACTGCTGATATTGATCGAACAATTTCAATTGTTGTAGCCTCCTTGAACTTGGTATTTTGTGATTTATTTTGTGCCAGATTTTTTCATTTCATCAATAGCTTCAGATTTTTATTTTGTAACCTCCTCTTTCTTCCAATATCCTTCGAATTTCGCTGTGTTGAATTTGTTATTGAAGACAGTGGATGATGTTATATCACTAAAAGATTTGAACCCATGTATAAAACAGAGTAGGTAGATGATCAGAATTACCACTGTGCAATTATAAATAAAATAAGAACAGACTTACTTGTCAGATATATGAAACAGAATGATAATGATATGCAGTATCAGAGGAATAAAAATCCGAGCCCACAGAACGTGTCTCCTTAAGACAATTTACCCCCTCACTGATGCCAAAGGTTGATAGACACTTGTCTCTCAGGATAGAACGAATTTCGTCTGAAGAATGGTGGCACTACCAATCAACAGCCCAAACGAACACAACTGAATGCCAGAGAAAACTACACCGGAGTATGAAAAGGAACATGCAAAACCGGAAGGAGAAAAATTCCGGCAGAGTTTCAGTACAGAAAAATTGGATACATTTTCTGAAGGTGTCAGTGTCTATTTATAGACAACGTAAAGTCACGTTCCAAAAGGCACCTATTCACGACGAAACAACACATCCGTTGGACACGAAAAGACACATTCGTTCGACACGAAAAGACACAGTCGTTCAACACGAAAAGACACCCATTCAAGGATGAAACAACATGTCCGTTAGGATGAAACAACATATCCTTTAGGATGAAAAGATACATCTGTTTGTCGACGAAAAGGCACACATTTTCACGACCAAACTTCTTATTCATAACCAATAGATTGTCTACATAATTTATATATATAAATTCCAACAATCCCCCACATGGATAAGAAGTCAAATCATCGTGACAATTCGACGACGAAACAACACATCCTTTTGACACGAAAAGACACATTCGTTCGACACGAAAAGACACAGTCGTTCAACACGAAAAGACACCCTTTCAAGGATGAAACAACATGTCCGTTAGGATGAAACAACATATCCTTTAGGATGAAAAGATACATCTGTTTGTCGACGAAAAGGCACACATTTTCACTACCAAACTTCTTATTCATAACCAATAGATTGTCTATATAATTTATATATATAAATTCCAACAATCCCCCACATGGATAAGAAGTCAAATCATCGTGACAAAAAATGCACAAGAGTATAAATGCAAAGTGTAATTTCCTCAACGAGAAACAACTGTATCGAGATAGGTGGAGTTACCTTTGAACCTTCTCTAGTGAAAACCTATCGAATATACTCGGTCAATCGGTGGTCTAGGTCGACTTGAACCGTCAACCTTTAGTGTATACCTAGACAATAGGAGTCACACAATTGCTTCTCTAGCATTGTTGGTCCTTTGTTGCGCCCATTTTGGCCGTGGGACACCTGCCTGGTTCTGCGAGTGTTTTAGAGAATCGGCCTTTGAAAAATTCTCATAGATGCGGCCCTCACTTCACACTCACATAGGAGATTTCTTGTGATGTAACTCACTTATACATTATCTGAACACAACAGATTAAGAAATCATTAAAAGCCTAAGTGCTTACCCTCATAAATACACTGTCTTGTCTTAGGAATGAGTATGAGTTTAAAAACTCCACAGTGTTTAAACAGTCGACCATCACTTAGTTGTCTCTTTGAACCTAGTTCATGGGATCTCCACTCTTCTAGGTAGAGTTACCGTAATGCTCAACAATTGATAGGCCTTAAACCCATTCCTTTCGACAAATTTTCAACCAACTCTCTAGGAATCCCTCTGGTTAACGGATCCGCTATGTTCTCCTTAGACTTAACATAGTCAATTGAAATGATTCCATTCGAGAGTAGTTGTCTAATGGTATCATGTCTTCGACGTATGTGTCTAGACTTACCGTTATACATGACGTTCTTGGCCCTTCCAATAGCTGCTTGGCTATCACAATGTATGCATACGGCTGGGACCGGTCTTGGCCAATTAGGAACATCCTCAATAAAATTACGAAGCCATTCGGCTTCTTCACCGGCTTTATCTAAAGCAATAAATTCTGCTTCCATGGTTAACCTTGCAATGCAGGTCTACTTGGACAATTTCCAAGACACAACACCTCCTCCAAGGGAGAACACATATCCACTTGTGGATCTAGTGTCGTTAGAGCTGGTGATCCAATTTGCATCACAATACCCTTCTATAACTGCGGGGTATTTCTCGTAATGCAAAGAAAAATTTTGAGTATACTTCAGGTATCCCAAAACTCTTACCATAGCTTTCCAATGATTTTCATTTGGATTACTAGTAAAGCGACTTAACAGACTTACTGCATAAGCAATATCAGGTCTGGTGCAATTCATAACATACATCAGGCTTCCCAACACTTGAGCATATAGCTTTTGTGCTGTAGCTTTACCAGTGTTCTTTAGTAAACTAAGATTACAATCGACAGGGTTCTTCACAGGAGTTATATTCAAACTTTTGAATTTCTCAAGAACCTTAGCTATATAGTGAGCCTGTGATAAGGCCAACCCTGCAGATGTTCTATGGATTTTAATACATAGGATAACGTCTGCTATCCCCATATCTTTCATATCAAACTTACTATTAAGTAACTGTTTAGTAGCTTTAATCATTTGATTATTACTACCCATGATCAACATGTCGTCTACATAAAGAAAGACAATGGCAAATCCTTTTTCAGTATTTCGAACATAGACACATTTGTCACACTCATTGATTCGAAATCCATTTGATAACATAACATTGTCAAATTTCGCATGCCATTGCTTTGGAGCTTGCTTTAACCCGTAAAGGGATTTTATTAAGCGACAAACTTTTCGTTCTTGTCCTGGAACAACGAAACCTTCAGGTTGTTCTAAATATATCTCTTCTTCCAGGTCGTTGTTTAAGAAGGCAGTTTTAACATCCATTTGATGTACTTCTAATCCATTCAATGCAGCTACCGAGATCAACATCCTAATGGATGTGATCCTTGTAACAGGTGAATAAGTATCGAAATAATCGAGACCTTCACCAAATATTTTCTTTGAAGTAAAGTGCTGGTGTCCATTTCCCAAATATATTCTTGTGCTCTGTTATGTTATTACTGCTGATATTGATCGAACAATTTCAATTGTTGTAACCTCCTTGAACTTGGTATTTTGTGATTTATTTTGTGCCAGATTTTTTCATTCCATCAATAGCTTCAGATTTTTATTTTGTAACCTCCTCTTTCTTCCAATATCCTTCGAATTTCGCTGTGTTGAATTTGTTATTGAAGACAGTGGGTGATGTTATATCACTAAAATATTTGAACCCATGTATAAAACAGAGGAGGTAGATGCTCAGAATTATCACTGTGCAATTATAAATAAAATAAGAACAGACTTACTTGTCAGATATATGAAACAGAATGATAATGATATGTAGTATCAGAGGAATAAAAATCCGAGCCCACAGAACGTGTCTCCTTAAGACAATTTGCCCCATCACTGATGCCAAAGGTTGATAGACACTTGTCTCCCAGGATAGAACAGATTTCGTCTGAAGAATGGTGGCACTACCAATCAACAGCCCAAACGAACACAACTGAATGCCAGAGAAAACTACACCGGAGTATGAAAAGGAACATGCAAAACCGGAAGGAGAAAAATTCTGGCAGAATTTCAGTGCAGAAAAATTGGATACATTTTCTAAAGGTGACAGTGTCTATTTATCGACAATGTAAAGTCACGTTCCAAAAGGCACCTATTCGACGACGAAACAACACATCCGTTGGACACGAAAAGACACAGTCGTTCAACACGAAAAGACATCCATTCAAGGATGAAACAACATGTCCGTTAGGATGAAACAACATATCCTTTAGGATGAAAAGATACTTCTGTTTGTCGACGAAAAGGCACACCTTTTCACTACCAAACTTCTTATTCATAACCAATAGATTGTCTACATAATTTATATATATAAATTCCAACAAAATTTTCGCTGTGCAGAGCTATTTTGGGCCATTAAATGGACCTCAGATGCTACCAATAGCTTTAGTGTAGGTTTTTATGACTCTGATGTGACAACTCATCACAACTCACTCACTTCACCGTCCTTATACTCCTTCCCTTCTTTTTATTTTTTTTCAAATCTCTCTGGTACCCTTCTTTATCTTACACAGCGTCTTTGAAATCATCCACCTCGTCTCCCCATCTCCTCATCTCACCGTCCTTATCTTCCATGCTTGCAACGGAACGAACTTCAACCTAGGACTTTCGGTTTGAATAGCAACCTCAAGCTACCAAAACTCTGCGTCAACCATCAGCTCCGACCTAAAGGGATATGGATATCGCTGTTTAGTTGTTAGCAAGTCTGATTTTTGAGCTGAGTTGCTATCCCTCTTCATCTTGGTCAAGCCTTAATCTTAAAATTACATCAGGTTTGATTTCCCCTCTCTTACCATCTCATTCTATTTTTTCATTTGTCACATAACGATCTTGTTTGCAAATGAGACCCACCCACCATTAAACTAGAGTCGAACTGCGCCTTAAAGAAATCACCCACATCGTTCTTCTCTTTTAATTTATTTTATTTAATAATAATTTATTTATTTTTTATTTACACACCTGGTTGTATTCACATGACTGAACCTTGTTTCTTCATATCATGGTTGACATATATTATGCAGCTGATTGTGGTTGTAGAAGATGTCGAAAGATTGACTCTGTGGTGTCCATTATATGAGTAATTATTATTTTATTTTATTTATTTATTTTTTTTTTATTTTTTTTTTGTGTGAATATGCCCTGGGTTGTATCCCTTTGTTTAACTGTGGTTTAAAATGATACTGTGATCATCATTTATTATTTTTCTAGCTCGATGGTTTATTCTCATATATTGAGATATGTGCATCTTATGATTTCTGCCTTGCTCAGTGTCATTGTTGCTGGATAGCCAAATTTCTAACTGTTATAGGCTTTGTTCATGGTAACATATGACTGTCACTTTACCAAAAGCTGTCTGGTTTTGGATAGAAACACATATATGTGCTTACTGGTATCTGCGTTTAGTGGTATAAACTGTTGTTTTGCTTGGTTACAAATTAGCTGCTATAGCAATTAAGTTGCACTATTTGAACTAACTTAAAACCTTTACTGTTTACACTGCCATCACTGTACCACACTTGGGTTTGAAAAATTTTGGGATCTATGAGTACTATTTTCTCTATCATTTAACTTGGTTTGTCTTTTTATGTGTCTGTTCAATTTTAGCAATAAAATGGAACCACAGACAAGAAAAAAAGCCAAGTCTTCTGCAAAAAAGGGAAAAGAAGTGGTTAGCTCAACTGGCTCTTCACCTCAATCTTTATCACCTGAATCTGTCAGGGTAGACACAAGGATGAAGCAGATAATTGAGAAAAACTTGGTAATCATATATGAGCGTGGCTTCAATTTGGAAAAACCCGGGGCATTAACCAAAGTGTATGTGGAGAGGTACGTCTTGCGTCAAGGCTGGAATTTCTTTGCTCAATAGCAGCACATCAAGGTACCCGTCGCTCTGGTTCGAGAGTTCTTGGCAAACTTCCCCGAATCTGACAATCCAACGTCAGTCAAGGTTAGGGGAGTTGAAGTCCCTATTCTACCTTCTGCCATCAAAGAAGCGTACAACTTCCAATTCGAAGGAGATGGGGATCTTTACTGTCTCACATATGCTAATAAGCATATTGAGAGAACGAGGGACTTGGTTTCTGAAACATTGTTCAATGAGATTGGGAAGAAATGGACTGATGATAAGATAAACCATAAACAAACTTGTATGGAAGCACAGATATGGGGCTCTTTTATTAGAGCACGGCTCTTTCCTGTTGGTCATGTGCATCTAGTGCCTTGGAAGCATGCAGCTGCCATATACTACATCCTTGCAGACCACCCTTTTCCATACAGAAGAAGTGCTGTATGAGAGTTTATGTTGCCAAGCTCAAACAATTAAAGGAACATTTCAATTTCCTTGCTTGGTGAAACTCTTATGTGACCGGGCTGGTGTGCATACTTCTGATGAAGACACCTTATTGGTTCCATTTCCTACCACTCCATTCGATGAAAAATGCCTTGCTCGGATAGTTAAACAGGTTCCAAGATTAAAAAAAAGGGACGTCCACACATCCTCTCATACCGGGAGTTCAACATCCTTGGAGGAAGAGGTTGCTGAACTTAAAGCCATAGACCAAACACAGCAAGAACAGCTCAACACACAAAAAGGACAAATTTCCAAGCTCCACCAGTTTAATAGAGAGCTTATGCAATACTTAATGGAGGTCAAAAAACGTGATGGATCAACTTTTGAATTTGCGTGCCCACATGAAATCTACCCTGAGATACCCAGTTCACTAATTCAAGACCCATTCACTGGACCATCTACTGCACGAGCAAAAGCTGGACAACATATTCATATGGATATGGAAGGTCCTTCAGGAGAGCAATAGCCTCTCAGTCAAAAAAAGACCATTTTCATGGTCTCACAGGTTTTATGATCACTCTTACTTATTCTCTAATTTATCATTAAATTGCATGTTTTTTCCAATTATTTGATATGTCCCCTTGTTTTCTTTGTTGTGAGGACACAGCTGATTTTTAAGTTTGGGGTGGGTACACATGTTGAGTTTAAGAAAAAGAGCAAAAATTTTGAAATTTTTTGAACTTTAGCAACTTTATTTTTCTAATTTATTTATGCATGGCAGCCATTAATATGAACTCAGGTTTATTTGTCTCTTTGATGTCTTGTCATATTAGTATTTTATTTCATTCTGATTCCTTAATTAAGCACACATTAACAGTGTTACCTTCCATAAAAAGATTACCACATAGCTTAGCTTAGTCAATGCTTATATCATTGGATATTTTCCTTTGTAAGGATTTGAACCTAAACACATGATTTTGCTTGCTGAGTGGTCTTTCTGCATTGGTGTTCTTGATTTAAAAATGTCCTGGACAACTAGTTAGTACAATTCCACATGATAAAGGCACTTGTTTGTGATTGAAAAGCCTAGAGCCAAATAGCCCACCTTGTATTTCAATTTAATTCTTTGCAACCCCATTTGAGACTAAACCTTTTCTTGGATGATGTACAACCTGAATAGTAGCAGCCATATCCCATTTCCTACCATGTTTTGGAAGCCTTAGTATTTAATTAATTTTTCCTAGGCTAAAAAGACTTGAACAGTCAGGAATGGCAGGAAGAAGCCAAAAAAAAAAATAGGTGTATAAAAAAAAAAGATGAAAGTAAAAGATGCAAGTAATAGAATTGAAAAGAAAAGAAAGGTTGGTAGTGTAAAAAAAAAAGGTGGCAGAAAAGAAAGTGATACAGAAAGAAAAGAAGGTTGCATTTGATGAAAGGAAGTGAGTTAAAAAAAAGAAAATAGAGAGAAAATAAGCATCTTCTTCCTTTCAGTGAGCAAAAATAAGTCTTGTATGTCTATTGAAGATTAATTAGACACTTAAGGCCATCCATAGTTAGCCATTGTGACCTGAAAAACAATGAACCTAGCCTATCCCCTTTACAAGCCTAAAAGACCTTTTGATGGAAATGGAAAATTAGACATCAAGTGTCTAGGTAAAATTTAAGTTAGGATACAATAATGCAGAGATGATGATGAGTGACTAAACCTCTTAAATAAAATGAGAGAAAAATAAAGAGTGAAAGAGACCAGTGAGGAATTCTTTGATTAAGCATTGGTCTGATATGAGTTATGTGTGTAATTATTTCTGATGAACTATAACACTGTTGTTTGTTTGTTTGATTGATAAGTTAGTTTGAATTAAATCACTGATCTGATATAGATATCAATTGACAATATAGCTGATTAAAATTGTTGGCTGTGATGTATAATTATAAATGGAGAAATAAAGTGTCTAGTCACTGTTCTGATTGACTGATAAACTGAATTGGTGGAAAGAAAAGTAACTGACAATTACTTAAAAAACTGCTTGATTGCTTGAGGACAAGCAATAGCCTAAGTTTGGGGTATTTTGTTAGTCTTAATTTTTACTTAATTTAGTGGTAATTTTCCTTTAATTTTTGGGCTGGTTTTGTATAAGTGCAGGTAAAAGTGGACCAAATTAATGAAGTAAGCCCAAGTGGTAAAAAAGGGTAGAAAAAGGAATTTTAACTTTTCACTAATATTTTTCACCTTTTTACCACAGAAAAAGGACACTTGGCAAGAAAAGAAGGAAGATGAGATGAGATGGAAGAATAGCACCCGTTGGATACTCTTTGATCTAAGGGACAACATCTGGAGAAGCTTTGAAGAAAAAATCGGAAGTCTCTTTTAATAGGGGAACGCATATTTGAGGGGAGATGGAGTTTTAAGAAGAACTGATATTTTTTAGTTGTATTCAGATTTCATTTTGAGCGCTTAGTTTTCTTAGTTTTCTTGGATACGAATGCACAAGGAAGAACACTACTCTTGAAGAGATTCAAGAAGACCAACTTTCAGTGCAACTCGTGGTTTTATTGCTCTGTTCTTAAGCTTTTCATAGTACATTTTGAATTTGTGAAGAACCTTCTCGGTCTGTACCTTTACTCTTTACGATTTTTTTACTTTGTGAATGAAAATCATGCTTACTTTTGTTTCAGATTTTATTTTAGTTTTAATTTTCAACATGCATTGCTAAATCTCTTTTCTGGAATTCTGATGGAGATGATGAGTACCCATTATTGATTCAAATTGCTGTGCATTTTCTTGATGTTTGATTAGTGAAAATTATTTGGTTTGAGTTCCATGGGAATGGGCTTAAAGATTCTTGCATGAATTGATATTGGGAAATTTTAGTTTATGCTTTTCATTAATTCAAGTTTTCAAGATTAGGAATAATCTAGGAAAGAATCTGATTACAAGTCACGAGTAAAATGGTTCAAGATTAAGGGATTAATTTGTATCATTTCACAAACTGAATTTGGGAAAGTTTAGTGAGGTTCTATTAAAAGTCAGATTCCATCATTTTAGGTGCTACAGCAGTTAAAATGCAGACATGCAATTTTTAGGGAAAAGTCATCAAAGTCAGAATTCTAGATCTTTAAAATTCATTTTCACTCATACACACTTGTTCTTTCTGTTCTTAACATAGTTTACAATTCAGAAAATACAATTTTCTAAAAAAGAATAATCGAAGGAAACTGAATATCCCGTTCCCAGAGAACGATAACTCTTTCACCTTTTGAAATATATTTTTCCAACAAAATGGCGCCGTTGCCGGGGAACGGTGCATGATTTAGTTTCTTTTTGAAGTTCTTTAGTTTAGTTTCTTGAATTTGTGATTCTGTTACATTTTTAATTTTTGACAAGTTTTGAATTCTTTTAATTCTTGCAGTTTACTGATTCTGAACGTAAAATAAAAACAGCACTGTTTCAGTAATTCTGAACGTTCTGCCAAACCAGATTGACAAATGAAGTGATTGATTACTACACTATGGCAGACGACAACAGCTCAATCCATGGGAACAATGAAAATGGGGATGGAAATGCCATGATCCCAGTAATTGAAGAGTTGCCCGTAATGGAGTATGCAATTCCATCTCTCGATGGGGTGATCCCAGGCATAGTTCAACCAGAATTAGAAGCAAATTTCGATTTGAAGCCAGGGATGGTGCAGCTCCTTCAATCGATTACCCAATATCATGGAATGCCTCATGAAGATCCACATAGGCACATCACAAAGTTCATGAAGATTTCAGACACCTTCTCTGTTCCTGGTGTTTCTAATGAGGCCATGAGAATGAAACTCTTCCCTTACTCTTTGGGAGGAGCAGCAGAGGATTGGATAGAGAAACTGCCATCTAATTCCATAACTACGTGGAAAGAGTTGGGAGAGTCTTTTCTTATGAAGTTCTTCCCTCCCACGATGGTTTGTGATTTACGTGACAACATCACTGGCTTCAGGCAGTGTGCTGAAGAGTCTCTCCATGAAGCCTGGACTAGATACAAAAGGATGTTGAGGAAGTGTCCAACCCATGGACTGCCAAACTGGGCAATTATTCAAATTTTCTACAGAGGTTTGAGTTTGCAAGGGAGATCCAATTTAGATTCCACTGCTGGAGGTGCTTTTCTGCTCAAGAAGTACACTGATGCTTACAACATTCTTGAGGTAATCAGTGTAAACAGTTGTCAATGGCCGCTTGATAGAGTTGACCAACCAAAAAAGGCTGCTGGCCTTCATGAAGTGACAGCAACCACCTCCATGGCAGCTGAACTTGCTGCCTTAAACAACACAGTGAAGAATCTTACCAAGGTGGTTGTAGACTCTAAGCAGCCAGCACCTGTTCAAGTAGCTGCTACAACAGCTATCTGCTCCCTATGCTATGGGCCACATGCATTTGAGGAATGCCCCAACAACCCCACATCAGTTTTTTATGTGGGAGAGTTCAATCGTGGCTACAACAACCGCAACCAATACAACCAGCCCAGATGGCAGAATCAAGGTGGTCAATATGGCCAGAATCAAGGCCATGGGTACAATTACAATGCTGGAAATAAAGCACCTAATCAAAGCTTCCAAGGAGGACAACAACAATTTCAGCAACCAAAGATGCCATTCCCTCCTGGATTCAGCCAATCTTTTCCTGCAGACCAGAATAAACAAGGGAATGCAGAAGCTCACCCACCTCTTGAGCAGTGGATGAAGGACTATGCTGCAAAGAATGATCATGCTGTGCAAAATTAGGCAACTCTACTCCAAAGTCATAGTGCTATGTTAAAAAGCATTGAGACACAAATAGGTGAGCTTGCTGCAGCACTCAGTGGCAGACCATTGGGAACACTCCCTAGTGATACAGAGTTACCAAGGAGAGATGGAAAAGAAACATGTAAAGCTCTCCAACTGAGGAATGGCAGAAAAGTGGATCAACCAGAACCAGTTGTAAGGCCTTCCACCTTGAGGAAGTTGAAGGAGAAAGAGGGGCAGCAAGTGGACAACACTGATGTAGCACCTATACCTCAAGAAAATGATAATGGGGAAGAAAATGCTTCTGAACCAGAAATGGCAAGGCAAAGATCAAAGAGGTGAGATCCACTTGTGCAGAATAAAGAAGCCTCTCCACCACCCTCTAAGGCAAAACAAGTTCCTTTTCCTCAAAGACTCCAAAAACAGCACCAAGAGCAAAACTTCAAGCGATTCCTGGACATTCTGAAGCAATTACAAATTAATATACCCTTTGTGGAAGCACTTCAAAACATGCCAAGCTATGTGAAGTTCATGAAGGATATTCTCACAAAGAAAAGGAGGCTTGAAGAGTACGAAACAGTAGCATTAACAAAGGAATGCAGCAGCTATGTCTCCAACAACTTGCCTAAAAAATTGGAAGATCGAGGTTCTTTTACAATTCCATGTACAATAGGAGATAGATACATTAGTAGAGCCTTATGTGACTTAGGCTCTAGCATAAACTTAATGCCAACTTCTATCTTTAAAACACTTGGAGTCAAAGCCTCTGCAACCACAGTTACTCTCCAATTAGCTGATAGAACTCTTGCATTCCTTGATGGAAAAATAGAAAACATCTTAGTTAAAGTTGACAGATTGATTTTTCCGGCTGATTTTATAATCTTAGACTGTGAAGTTGATGAGAATGTGCCTATCATAGTGGGTAGGCCATTTTTGACCACAGGGGGTGCCATAATTGATGTTAAAAATGGAGAACTAACTATGAGGGTCAATGAGGAAAAGATCACATTTAATGTGTTAAAAGTAATGAATTTTATTGATGAAGATGTTGATGACTGTTCTGCTATATCTGTTATAGATCATATTGTTGCTGACTATTCTCCTGTGAATAATGAATTTAACAATTCTGAATTGGGCAGCATTGAACAGATTGCTGAAAATCTAAAGGAAAGTGAGCTTGTCTTAGCTTTAGAAACTAAACCAACAAGGTTTTTTGGGGATAAACAATTTGAATCCTTAGGACTACATGAAAGGTCCTCTAAACCTTTAAAACCATCAATTGATGAACCACCCAAGTTAGAATTAAAGGAGCTACCAAATCACCTTAGGTATGCCTTTTTAGGAGAGGAGAAAACTCTCCCAGTCATTGTATCCTCTGAACTGAACTTGACAGAGGAAGAACAACTACTAAAAATCCTTAGAACGCATAAAAAAGCCATTGGTTGGACCATGCTGATATTAGAGGAATTAGCGCCTCATTTTGTATACATAAGATAAGGTTGGATGATGAAAACAACAGCTCAATTGAACCTCAAAGAAGGCTGAATCCAGCCATGAAAGAGGTGGTTAAAAAGGAGGTAATAAAATGGTTAGATGCAGGTGTCATCTATCCAATTTGTGATAGTCATTGGGTGAGTCCTTTGCATTGTGTCCCTAAAAAGGGAGGAATCACAGTTATATTAAATGAAGATAATGAACTCATTCCTACTAGAACTGTCATGGGGTGGAGAATTTGCCAAGATTATAGGAAATTAAATTCAGCCACTAAAAAAGACCATTTCCCCCTACCATTTATTGATCAAATGCTTGATAAACTTGCTGGCCAGGAGTACTATTGCTTCTTAGATGGGTATTCTGGTTACAACCAGATCCCATTAGCCCCTGAAGATCAACATAAAACAACCTTTACATGCCCCTATGGCACTTTTGCTTTTAGGAGGATGCCTTTTGGGCTTTGTAATGCCCCTGCAACCTTCCAAAAGTGCATGACAGCCATCTTCAATGACATGATTGAAGAATTTGTAGAAGTCTTTATGGATGACTTCTCTGTATTTGGAAGCTCCTATGAGGCATGCTTGTTAAATCTGTCTAAGGTGTTACAAAGGTGTGAGGAGACCAATTTAGTGTTAAATTGGGAGAAGTGTCATTTTATGGTGAAGGAGGGGATAGTGTTAGGCCACAAGGTGTCTAAATCTGGTTTAGAAGTGGACAAGGCAAAGATCTCTGTCATAGAAAAATTACCTCCTCCTAGAGATGTCAAAGGTATTAGGAGTTTCCTAGGCCATGCTGGCTTCTATAGGAGATTTATAAAAGACTTCTCTAAGGTGGCCAAGCCACTAAGCAATCTGCTTGAGATCAATAGGCCATTCTTGTTTGATGAACAGTGCCTAAAAGCCTTTGAAGAGCTGAAAAATAAACTAATCACTGCTCCTATAATTGTAGCACCTGATTGGTCATTACCTTTTGAGGTAATGACTGATGCAAGTGAGTGGGCATTAGGTGCTGTTTTAGGATAGCGCAAAAATAAAATTTTCCACTCCATTTATTATGCAAGTAAAGTCTTGCAAGGTGCTCAATTGAACTATACTGTAACAGAAAAGGAACTCCTTGCTGTAATTTTTGCATTTGAAAAATTTAGGAGTTATTTGTTTGGAGCGAAAATAATTGTGCATACTGATCATTCTGCAATTAAATATCTAATGGAAAAGAAAGATAGCAAACCAAGGCTTATTAGATGGATGTTACTCCTTCAAGAATTCCAAGTTCAAATTGTGGATAGGAGTGGCACCCAAAATCAGATAGCTGACCATTTATCTAGGCTTAAGCTAGAAGAGAATGAACAAGACTTAGAGCCAATCAGGGACATGTTCCCTGATGAAGCTTTGTTAGCTATAAAGTCCATAAATACCCCTTGGTATGCTGATTTAGCCAATTACTTGGCTGCTGGATTGATAAGTGAGGAATTAAATTCCCATCAAAAAAAGAAATTTCTCCATGATTCTAAATTTTACTTTTGGGATGACCCCTATCTTTTCAAGAGGTGTGATGACCAAATCCTTAGAAAATGTGTTCCTGAAAGTGAACAAGAGGGAATTTTAAGTAGCTGCCATAGCTCCCCTTATGGAGGACATTATGGAGGAGTGAGGACAGCTGCTAAAGTCTTGGAGGCTGGCTTTTACTGGCCAAGCCTATTTAAGGATGCCTATACATTAGCTAAGAACTGTGATAGATGCCAAAGAACTGGCAACATTACACGTAGAAATGAAATGCCACTCAACCCAATTCTTGAAGTTGAGGTATTTGATGTGTGGGGGATAGACTTCATGGGTCCTTTTCCCCCTTCTAATGGCAACAGGTATATATTGGTAGCTATTGATTATGTGTCAAAATGGGTAGAGGCAGTGGCATCTCCCACTAATGAAACCAAGACTGTATGTAAGTTCCTAAAGAATTACATTTTTACAAGGTTTGGCACACCTAGATGTGTGATCAGTGATGGAGGGGGACATTTCATTAGCAAACAGTTTGAGAACCTCCTTGCCAAATATGGTGTTAAGCATAGGGTGGCCACACCCTACCACCCTCAAACTAGCGGCCAAGTGGAGGTGACTAACAGGGAAATAAAGAAAATTTTGGAGAAAGTAGTAGGACCTTCAAGGAAGGACTGGTCCTTAAAATTAGAAGACTCCCTTTGGGCATATAGGACTGCCTATAAGACACCCATAGGATGCTCACCATATAGACTGATCTTTGGTAAAGCATGCCACTTGCCGTTGGAATTGGAGTACAAAGCCTATTGGGCTCTTGCTAAGCTCAACATGGATTATACACTTTCTGCTGAAAATAGGCTTCTGCAGCTTAATAACTTGGATGAATTTAAGCAGAACTCCTACGAAAATGCTAAGCTATATAAAGAGAAAATGAAAAGATGGCATGACAACCAAATCCAGGATAGAAGTTTAGAACCGGGTCAACATGTCCTGCTTTTTAATTCTAGACTTAAAATTTTCCCTGGTAAATTGAAGTCACGTTGGTCAGGTCCATTCCAAATTGTTGAAGTCTTTCCACATGGAGCAGTTGAGATTATATCTGAAAAAGATGGGAGGAAATTTAAAGTAAATGGGCAGAGATTAAAAATCTACCATGGTGAACCTTTAGTCAGGGACAAAGCCATTGTTCCCTTGGCTGAATCTTCCGTATCATAGCATACTTTGGGTTAGTAGGTAGTTAGAGTCTTCGTTTGGTTAGTGTATAGGATGTTTAGTCTGAGCAACTTTTGTGTCTTTTATTGTTTTAATTTTCATATTTTTGTAGTTTAATTTTTGTGTCTTATCTTACATTTTTGTGTGCTAGTATTTTTTTTTCCTTTACTGTCAAAAAAAAAGAAGAAGAAAAAAAAAGAAAAAAAAGAAAAAAAAAAGAGGGATGTGATGAGTATGTTGGTGAGTGAGTAGTGCACCCATACAATGACGGGTAACATGAGGTGTAGTACAACTCTTAAGTTTGGGGTATTTGAGAAGAGTTGCTGTGAATGCTGAGTGAGAATAAAAGGAACCAATCTTATGTGCTATAGCAACTAAAATGTGAAGGAATTGATGTTTAAAGGGGGCACGTGAGTTACAAGATATTGATAACTCACATCTCTATAAGCAAATTTGAGTATGTACTTGGCTGATTCAAATTTGAATCAGGCCCTTGTAACACTCTAATTTGCTTAGAATTAGGATTGGGCCAATTAAGGAAGTTTCAAGCCCAATTTATAAAAATGGGTCTGTTATTTCTTTAAAGAATAAAAATTTGTAAATAAAAAAATATAACAAAAAAAAAGAGAAAAATAAAAATAAACAATAAAAAATTTCCTACTGTTTTTCAAATCTGACAACGGTCAGATTCTCCTCTTTCTTCCAATATCCTTCGAATTTCGCTGTGTTGAATTTTCGCTGTGCAGAGCTATTTTGGGCCATAAAATGGACCTCAGATGCTACCAATAGCTTCAGTGTAGGTTTTTATGACTCTGATGTGACAACTCATCACAACTCACTCACTTCACCGTCCTTATACTCCTTCCCTTCTTTTTATTTTTTTTCAAATCTCTCTGGTACCCTTCTTTATCTTACACAGCGTCTTTGAAATCATCCACCTCGTCTCCCCATCTCCTCATCTCACCGTCCTTATCCTCCATGCTTGCAACTGAACGAACTTCAACCTAGGACTTTCGGTTTGAATAGCAACCTCAAGCTACCAAAACTCTGCGTCAACCATCAGCTCCGACCTAAAGGGATATGGATATCGTTGTTTAGTTGTTAGCAAGTCTGATTTTTGAGCTGAGTTGCTATCCCTCTTCATCTTGGTCAAGCCTTAATCTTAAAATTACATCAGGTTTGATTTCCCCTCTCTTACCATCTCATTCCATTTTTTCATTTGTCACATAACGATCTTGTTTGCAAATGAGACCCACCCACCATTAAACTAGAGTCGAACTGAGCCTTAAAGAAATCACCCACATCGTTCTTCTCTTATAATTTATTTTATTTAATAATAATTTATTTATTTTTTATTTACACACCTGGTTGTATTCACATGACTGAACCTTGTTTCTTCATATCATGGTTGACATATATTATGCAGCTGATTGTGGTTGTAGAAGATGTCGAAAGATTGACTCTGTGGTGTCCATTATATGAGTAATTATTATTTTATTTTATTTATTTATTTTATTTTTTATTTTTTTGTGAACATGCCTTGGGTTGTATCCCTTTGTTTAACTGTGGTATATAATGATGCTGTGATCGTCATTTATTATTTTTCTAGCTCGATGGTTTATTCTCATATACTGAGATATATGCATCTTATGATTTCTGCCTTGCTCAGTGTCATTGTTGCTGGATAGCCAAATTTCTAACTGTTATAGGCTTTGTTCATGGTAACATATGACTTTCACTTTACCAAAAGCTGTCTGGTTTTGGATAGAAACACATATATGTGCTTGCTGGTATCTGCGTTTAGTGGTATAAACTGTTGTTTTGCTTGGTTACAAATTAGCTGCTATATCAATTAAGTTGCACTATTTGAACTAAGTTAAAACCTTTGCTGTTTACACTGCCATCACTGTACCACACTTGGGTTTGAAAATTTTTGGGATCTATGAGTACTATTTTCTCTATCACTTAACTTGGTTTGTCTTTTTATGTGTCTTTTCTGTTTTAGCAATAAAATGGCACCACAGACAAGAAAAAAAGCCAAGTCTTTTGCAAAAAAGGGAAAAGAAGTTGTTAGCTCAACTGGCTCTCCACCTCAATCTTTATCACCTGAATCTGTCAGGGTAGACACAAGGATGAAGCAGATAATTGAGAAAAACTTGGTAATCATATATGAGCGTGGCTTCAATTTGGAAAAACCCGGGGCATTAACCAAAGTGTATGTGGAGAGGTACGTCTTGCGTCAAGGCTGGAATTTCTTTGCTCAACAGCAGCACATCAAGGTACCAGTCGCTCTGG